GCAGACTTCTCCCATCAGTCTCCCTGAGCAAGGAGAAGGGGTGATTATGGTCCTGTTTTCATCACAGTTGTGGTTTAAGATGCTTTTACAAAGACCAGGATGACAGCCCTTGCCCAGAGCAGCTTCTTGTTCCTACTGCTATTATCATAAGTAACTTTCCTGGTGTGCTTGACATGTCATCAGATGTTTCTGGGCAGCATCTTCCTTTGAATAGTAATAATAAAAAAAAACATGTTGCTGTGCTGTTCTGTCTCATTCTTTGGGATTTTTTTTTTTTTTTACACCAGTTTGGCAGATCCTGGTTTCAGTCTGCTCCTCCTAGCAGCACAAACCCGCAGCGGGAAAAGCTCAGGATAGTTGCCAGCAGCGTGGGGCTGGGGCACTCAGCTTTTGAAATGTCAGGAGGCTGGTCTGAGAAAGGTGGGGGGGGGAAGCATTAGAGAACTTAAAGGGGTCTGGTTAGCTCTGCTCCAGAGCAAAATAAGGACTCGGGTTCTTGCTGTGGGATCTGGTTGTGGCTTTACAGGCTGCACTTCCTCCAAGGCGAATGGCAAAGCCACGTAGCATCCCCAGGTGCCGGACGTTGCCTTAGGCAATGCATTAACTGTCAGCTCTATAAAAACCCAATATTGCTGGAAAACTCCCTCATTACTGTGCTGTTGCACTGAAAATACCACGTGTCTTGGCCATATTTTCCACTCAATTTTTGCAGTGCAGTGTCCATCTCTGAGCACTTCTTTCTCGTGCCTCCGCTGCAGGTGCGATGCTTGCTGCATCCCATTTTGGACAAACAGGATCCACTTTTCCAGTCTGTAGGTTGGAGAAACTTAGATGGGGAAAGAAAAAAAAAGGGGGGGGGGGGAAAAAAAATGCTGATAGCAATTGTGCCAAGCAATTGAATTTCAGGTTGTGGGAATTTAAACGAAATTGTAACAGATCAAGTGTGGAAGTTCTGCCTTCATAGAGTCATAGAATCATAGAATGGCCTAAGCTGGAAGGGACCTTAGAGATCATTTTAATCCAACCTCCCTGCCGCCAGGGACGCCACCTCTTGACTAGATCGGGCAACACATGGGGACCGAACGGGAATCGAACCCACAACCTTAGCGTTGTTAGCGCTATGCTCAACTGACTAAGCTAACCGGCCCCCTTCCATCAGAAGTCCACGGTTCTGTAGGGGTGAGGACAGCAGGGAGGGGGTGAGGGGATGCAAAAACGCTCCATCCAGCTTGCTTTAGTGTGCAGAAGAAAACATTTCACTCTAGCAATACAGAGGTGACCATTTTGAGGGAGTGCTGGGGAAAAGAAAAAAGAAAAAAAGAAAAAGAAAAACCACCCCCACGAAGCAGTGGTAGTATTGGCCTAAATTAGACGTACTAAGTTCTGACAGAAGAGATTAATTTCCCGAAATTGCAGCATAACATCTCATAGAGGACAGGTATCACTAGAGCCCAAAGCCTGGTTTTCGTTCATTTTACTAAAAGCCAAGAAAAAGCAAACTAAACCTACTTACTGTAATTTTTCCCTCAGTTCAGGGATGCTCATTGCTGCTTCAGCGAGGGCTGGTTTCGCCATGTCCTGATGTTCCTCCGAGCCTTCAGTCCCTACGATTTATCCAAAATAGCCATAATTTCTCCTCTTTGCTTCATCCAGACCTTTGGAGGGTGGGCGAGGGGGGGGGGGGGGCGGGGAGGCCCGAGGAGTTCCGG